AAACCCTATCATTAGATAATCTGTATTCGTTCTAAGCAATTTACACTAATTCCGAATATTTGAATGAAATATAGAAAAACGAGAAATTTGACATCCTGAGGTCGTATGAGTATTCGTGGCACCCTGCATAAATATGCTTATTGAATTAAATTTAGAACTTGTGAAGAGTAAGTTTTTTATTAAGTCAGCAGCATGTATTCAATGCCGTCAATCCAATCATCGGAGTCAAAGCGCGAGAAATAGAACAGGTGTTTCTGAATCTTCTGTGAAAACACTCACTTTAAGTTGAAACGTTTTACCCAACTAAAATCTCAAATTAACCACTTCAACAAGTTTCACACAGTGTAACTCGTATAATTTGCAGCACTTGGTAAAACTCTCATACAAGGAGGTTATTAAGTCATTTCAGGTGCTTTCGTGCTCCGTAATGTAATTCACACATAACGAGCTTCATGGAAATAATAATAAAAAAAAAGTTCACGTACACAGTTTGGATATAATTTAAATGTTTCTAGATGCTGATTTCAGTATTAAACTCTCATTACACTTATACATAAGTTATACACAAAGTTTGATATTTGATTAAATCGTGTCGTGTAATGAAATATTTGACCATATTACGTTAAATGTGCTATACAACATATACGACTTCCTGTTTCATTATAGTTCTTGTATGAACTTTTTATTGGATGTGTTTTCAGGTAATAAATCAATAAAACCTAAGCCTCATTAACTGTTGAATTAGAAAAATACTTAAAAGAAAGTAATGTGGTTCTCGAACTGTGTTCTGTGGAACCCTAGGGTTCCGACAAGGTTATCAGTGGTTATCAGGTAATAGCGGTGTTTTTCCAATTATTGAGTATTAACCCGTCATGGACCAAATGTATTTTTGAAACCATGAGTATTTTTTTATATTTATTTAGAATTTTTAGTGTTACGAATTCGATCCCTTTCATCTAGGGTAGGCTTTAAGGGTGAGTTAAGGGGGTGGGGTTCTGTGATGGAATGAATGAAATAAAATGATTCAATGGCTTCATAAAGCTTAAAAACCACTGTTATAAATACAAAAGAGAGAACGCCCTTATACTTGTTTGTTTGAAGTTAAGCACAAAGCAACAAATTGGGCTATCTGTGCTCTGCCCACCACGGGTATCGAAACCCGCATTCTAGCGTTGTAAGTCCGCAGACATACCGCTGTGCCACTGGGGGACTGCCTTTATACGATTTAACATTTTGCCATATTTTGTAATTTTTCAGGAGAGATTTCGCGATAATAGCTTTCGGATCTAAGCAAAAAAAGCCTTTTTATTTGAAGCTGTTAAAGAGTTATCCCTTTAGCTATTCTTATTAACTACCACGCTCTATATCTATTCTAAGGAAAACCCATCCTCTAGTAAACACACCAATGCTAGTGTTGTCTCAGGTGATGCTACCAACAATATTTCTCAGCACTCGAAACGCTATCCAAAAGGATGACAGAAACATGAGCGCATATTCCAATTTATCTCAATTGTTAAGAACTAAAAAAAAGGGGGGGAAAGGTGCAAATACAGCAAACACAGATAGAAAACTGCAAATAAATTATTAGAATTCCCGTAAGGGAAATATGGATCTGTGTTTAACAATATGATCTAATAATCGCCATTGTTGTTAGATGAAAAAGATGCAAATACAGTAAACACAGATAGAAAACTGCAAATAAATTATTAGAATTCCCGTAAGGGAAATATGGATCTGTGTTTAACAATATGATCTAATAATCGCCATTGTTGTTAGATGAAAA